AACAGACTTATGTTCCTTTTTTTTAGTCAGTTTTAAGACTTGAGGGTACTAAAATGTTAGTTTGGTGGTGGTGGTGGTGGTGTACATCATAAACATTTCAGAATGATGTACCATTTTATTTTATTTTATTAGAGATTCTTTGCTATAGGGCATGCACACTTGCCAGAGAGAGAGAGAGGGAGAAAGAGAGAGAGAAATCACCCCCTGGGGGGAGGATGGCCATGTTGCAGTCCCTTCTCTCCCATTTTTCTCTCAGGATCTTGGGGCACAGATGCACATGCGCCCAGTGTGAGTTTCAAGCCTCTAAGTCTAGGACTCAAACCATAGTCAGCCATATGGGAGTCCAGTGCCTTAACGACTGTGCTACATGTGTTATTATATTTTTTTAAATTCTACTCACCAATGCCAGTCTAAGAAACAGACCTATGTACATTCAGCCACCAAAGTTTTAGGGGATACCTATATTCTAGGTGGGGATGCTATGTTTCTTGGGGTTAGTGGATGTATTACTCAGTGTTCTCCAGAGAAACAAAACCAGTAAGTGATTACGTGTGTGTGTGTGTGTGTGTGTGTGTGAGTGTGTGTAGAGAGAGAGAGACTGATTTTTAGGAACTGGTTTGGGTGGTTGTGGAGGTTAGGAAGTCTGAAATCTGTTGGGTAGTCTTGAGCTCGAGAAAAGAGTGAATGTTGCAGATTGGAGTGCAAAAGCTGCAGGACAGGCCAGGAATCCGGGCACTCAGGTAGGGTTTCTGGGTTGCAGTCTTGAGGCAGGATTGCTTCTGTTTTGGGAAATCTGTCTTTGCTCCTAAGGCCTCCAACTGATTGGATAAGGTCCATTAATTTAAGTATTAATCACATCTAAAAAAAAAAAAAAAAAAAAAGACCTTCATAACAATATCCTGACTGGTGTTTGACCAAATAGCTGGGCACCGTGGCCTCGCCAGGTTGACACTTGCAGTAGCCATCACAGACGACTTTGGCCTTCAGAGTTCCAGTCATGAATAGGACTACCCAGAACCTAGCCCATTCTTTTTTTGTGATTATCTGAAAATATAATAGCTCAGAATGTGGAGTCCTGAGCTTCCTAAAACATTCTTCCTGTCATTCCAGTATCTGAAATGCTATAGGACTTGCATGGATCCGTCCCGGGTGAGGGCTGCTGGTGCTCTCCAGTTCTTCTCCACTTGAGGTTAGAGTAGACCCTTCTCTTTGGTCATCTGTGGGGCAGAGGGGGCTACACCTGACCTCAGACTCCCTGATTCCCCATGCAACTGCTGGAGAGTGCTGCAGATCCGATGTGGTCCCACAGCTGAGCCAGCAGTGAAGACCAGTCAGCCTCCAGGATTTAAACTCAGACGGAGGGCTAGGAAGTACACCTGATTCTATTCCTTTACTTCTCCATGACTGAACCCCTTGCTTGTAATTTTTTTTTTTCCTTTGGAGAGGTTTTCGCTATATGGCGCGTGTGCTCGCCAGACAGACAGAGACATAGAGACAGAAAGCGAGAAATCACCCCCCAGAAGGAATGGCTACGCCGCAATCCCTTCTCCTCCATTCTCCTCTTGGGATCTTGGGCATGCACACACATGCGCCCGTCATGAGTTTAAAGCCACCGGTTCCGGGACGCGAACTGCAATCGACTACGGGGGAGTCCAGCGACATAGCCATTACACTAACTGCTGGTTCTCAACCCCTCGCTTGTAAAATTTTCAAGCACCATGCCGTTCCTGACCAATGGCAGTGCTTTTTGATATCATTTTAGAAGTAGCAGCTGGATTGAGTTTTTAAAAGTCTGTCATGGGCTATCAGGTGGCATGGCAGTTATGGCGTTGGACTCCCACAGGGCCAACTGTGGTTCAAGTCTCGGACCTGGAGACATGCTTTCTCACTTTCTCTCTCTCTCTCATCGAATTAAGAAATAATAATGATAAGCAAAATTAAATAAATATTTCTTTTTAAAAAATAAAATTAAATCAATGTCTGCCAGAGGGATGGTGTGACATCATCCATTCATCCCACCTCCTGGTATCATCCAGTGCTTGCTTTGTGCCCAACACGTGCTCTGGAGGACCAGAAGAGATATTTGTTCCAGTCTCCACATTCTAGAAGCTGAAAATTGAGTTAGAGGACATGAGACTAATACCTGCAGTGAAGCTGACCAAAACCATTTATCTGGCCGGATACCTGGGGTTTGTTATTTTATATTTACAGAGGAGCTTTTCTTATTAATTGGAAGTTTTAGGACACAGCCAGTTAGATCTTACTGATTAGAAGAGATCCATTCTCGGGAACCAGCAGTTAGCGTAATGGCTATGTCGATGGATTCCCACATAGTCAACCGTGGTTCGCATCCTGGACCTGGTGGCTTAGAACTCACGCCGGGCGTGTGTGCGTGCGTGCCCAAGATCCCGAGAGGAGAATGGAGGAGAAGGGATTGCGGCGTGACCATCCTCCCTGGGGAGTGATTTCTCGCTTTCTGTCTCTATGTCTCTCTCTTGTCTGTCTGGCGAGCGCATGCGCCCTACAGTAAAAATCTCTCAAAAAAAAAAAAAAAAAAAAAGAAGAGATCCATTCTCTGAATGATTAGATCCTTAACCCCAGAAAGAAAGTTGAAGCCACGTGAAGGCAAAGTAAAATGAGTAGGACTCTTTCTTCAGTAAAAAGGAGGATAGTAAAGGAATATTTATTGAAACCTGTAACATCATAAAGGAGATAGGTTAGACAGAACCAATATAACATACTCCTTTTATTAGACTTACCATTCTTAATATAAGATTTTAATACAAAATCTGAAATGACCCCAGATCCAAAACTTATTAAGCATTGACTTGATGCCACAGTGGAAAATTCCACACCTGGTTATATGTGACAGGTCGCAGTCAAACACTGCCATACAAAAGTATTTTATAAAATTACCTTCAGCCTATGTGTTATAAACCATGTGTAAAACACATATACATTTTGTATTTAGCTTTGGGTCTCACATCCTTAAGATATCTCAGTATGTATATATAAGTGTTTCAAAATTTGAAAAAGTCAGAAACCTGAAACATTTTGATCCTAAGTATTTTGTAGAAGGCATACTCAACTTATTGTAATTTTTAACTGTTATACATATTATAAAACACAATACTATCTCATTATAGTCAAATATAATTTAATACATTCCTATATTTCTATTTTATTGTGTCTTAATTGATTAAAATACGGTGACGAGAACTGTAAGTGAAAACAGATCTAAAGCAGTTTTCTTTATTAAACAAAGTATATGTTTTACATATTTGCTTTGCTTTTACTTAGGGAAAAAAAAAACTTACTTAGAAAAATACAAGTTGGGTATAGGACCGTGGGGTATAAACAACTAAACTATTTTACTTTTTACTTTCCTATGAATGAGCCAGTATATATTTATTACTGGAGTTCCAGCTATAAAATTCAGGTAAGGGGTTTAAATATACCCTAGAGTATTATTTAAAAATAAATTTGTTTCTTTCAAACAGAAGAGCAACCTTGGTCTATGACATTTGGGAGAGAAATTAAAATATTAAACTTTTATTGCCTAGTAAACTGAAAAGAAAGGTTAAATAAATACAAAGCAGAAAAAAATACATATACAAATTCACAACCTCTGACAGGACAGACCGTCTACTGTTCTCTGTGTGGAAGCTTTATCAACGCTAGCAAGTAATTCTACCTCAAGGGCAGGGCTAGTATTCAGAATGTAAACAAGTATGTACTTTGTTTATATAAAGAAATTTCTCTACAGATATCAAACAGCTACACGGATTGTTTCAAAGCACCAGTAGGGGCCAGCAAAGAGCTCTTAGAGTTTTTCAGGACAGAATTGGCATTGAGATATGTTTATTTGATGTGTTAAATCCTTTTTAGACTGCTTTCCTTACCACAACACTCCTTAAGTGAATGAATTGCAGAGACAGTGGAATAAAATATCTTATGTGTCCAAACTATATTGGGGTATAGTTTTTCTGTCTAATCTGCATATATTTTTAATGGAATGTTTGCTTAGGTTATTTCTTGGCAGGGTTTTAATAGTCAAAATATAAATGGCATCATTTAAAGACTGTACTCCTTGGCTGGAAGGAGTCTTAAAATTACAGGAGAAAATGCTTGGTGACAGCTTCTCTTAATTTTTTTTTTTTCCTCAGACCTATGCTCAATTTTTGCAAGGGTGTTACGGGGTTTGTTTCGTAGTTTCTATCCTTAAGCTTTTTACTTTTTCTAAGTAGCATTTTGGAAGGTAGACTATTTCTCTGTTTTATTTAATGGTATCCTTTTAATTCCTCCCAAGGTATTTACAGATTGATACTACTGTTTGTGCTCATTTTTAAAAAATGTAACAGTTCATAGTCCTTTCTGCTTTACTAACTCCACACTAGGTTCCTACTATGGCTACTATTTGGAAATTCAGTCTTTGATTTGATACTCAATTACACGGTTTCATTCCTACCAACTTCCTGTAATTCTATACCTATGGGTAAAAATATTAGTGGTCAAACTCTGCCGAGAAAGTATAGGCACCGCGAATTCACATGGTTAAGCGTTCATTTAGTAGAGCTGGAGTGAAAAAATACCGTTTCGACTTGAAATGCTAGAAGATTGTTGTTCTTGTGTTACTCATTCATGCAAATTGGAGAAGGTATAATTGAAACAAGGTTGGCTGTGTTTGAGTCAGCCGGCTGCAGCTGAGCTCAGCTTAAAGGTCGCTGGAAATCAAGTGCTTTTGTAACTGAAGGCATTTTGACTCCAAGCGATTCAAGACATTTTGGACACGTCAGTCTCAAGAATGGGTCGTCCTTTTCTTTCGATGATATCTGGTATCCAATGTTTTCTTTAGGATCAAGACTGCTGCTACTTGGTAGCTCTCTCAGACACCACAAATGATTTTTTCTTTCGATGCAGTGCAGCTGCTTCTAGCCTGTCTGTGGACAGAGATCTTTGTTATGACTTTCAGCTCCTAACATGTTTGGAAATGAGAACAAATGGCACAAAGCTTACGATTGCACTTTGCAGCCAAAAGAAGCAATACTTACCCTCTGTCAGAAACCTCCGGAGATGAGCTGGATAGCCATGTTCACATGTGCTTCAAAAAACCCACACGGATTTCAACGTCTAACGTTGTTCAAATGAAGCTGACTCCCAGACAGACAGCACTAGCTCCGTTAATAAAAGAAAACGTTAAGTCTCAGGAAGGAGCGTCCGTGCCTTCATCTGAAAATGTGAATAAAAAGAGCAGCTGTCTACAGATTTCACTACAGCCAACAAGGTACGGTGGCTATCTTCAGTCTCGCGGTGTCTTAGCTGACAGGGATGACGCTTTGTTTCCCTGTGTCTCGAAGGATGGCGTGGACACCGGCACTGGGGTTGTTCACGAACTGAGTGGTGTGAGTGACGGGGCCCTTGTGAGCAGTTCTGCCATTCGTAGTGGTAGCCTGAGTAGCTTTTCCACCAGTGACCATGGCTCTTACAGCAGCAACGGTAGTGAATATGGGTCGTGTGTAAGCCTCACGAGTGGAGGTTCATACACCAACAGCGTGGTCAGTGACAGTAGTGGTTATACTTTTCCACCAAGCGATGATCCTTTTTTTGGTGGAAATTTATCTTCGGACAGCACCTCCCACAGAAGTGTGCCAAACAGGAATACTACTCCCTGTGAAGTTTTTTCAAGAAGCACAAGTACGGTTCCCTTTGTCCAAGATGACTTGGAGCATGGAATAGAGATTATGAAACTGCCAGGGAGC